TCATTTAAATCGGTTCAATAGTTTCGGAGATTAGCCCGTACAAACAGACAGACAGAGAAACAAAATATTTGAAAAAAAAAACTCGATTTGTTCTATTTCTCTTCTTACATCCCCCTGACTCGGTTTTTAAGATTTTTTTTATGTACAGAAATTCGACCTCTACAGTTTTATTATAGTATAGACGAGGAATCCAGTTGCACTAATTAAAATTAAGCCAACACTCTCAGACAAATTGACTTTCTCCAATCGATATCTTTATTAGATGTTTTAAAATATTCCTTAAACACTACTAGTTTTTTCCAGTAGGTTTTCTCGCTTCAAGTTTCTTTTTAAATAATAATAGTGTTGGCCTCGTGGTTGAAATTCGACCATATTCATTAATTATTGAAAATTTGAGGAAGATATAATATGTACATTTACATTTTTCCAATATTTTTTCTATTCTTTTACATGCTTTATATATCTGAGAATATACACTTTTACGCTTACTTATCTATACTTTAAAGAGATAATATTATAAAGAGGTAAAGTTTGTGAGTTTGTGACGTTGTAGGTAATAATCTCTGGATTTACTGAACCGATTTAGATGAATTTTGGTAAGAAGAAATTTTGGGAGCCTGGGGAAGATATAGGATAGTTTTTATTTCGGAAATAATCATTTAAGGGGGTGAAAATGGGGATGAAAGTTGTATAGGAATTCATCCTAGGGACGAACCCGAGCGAAGCGAGAGTGAGTCGCTAGTTCATATATGTATATAGATAGCAAATTTATTTAATAAAATAACTATGACTCATTTGTTAGCATACCAGAAACTCATATTAATTAATAACAAAGCATTTAAAATAACTCAGTTTTATATTTCGTGAACAATGAATATTTTATTTGTAATTTGGGATGTAGTCGGTCAATTAGTACTAAGTCTAGGTATTGTTTTAATTCCCCCCCCCCCCAACGTGCGTTCACCTTGTCGTGGTGGGGGGGCTCAGTAGTGCCCGGCAATCCAACCGGGCGCGAAGCTAAGAAACGCACAGGGAGGTTGCCCACTTCGGTGGGCGGGGGGAGGTGGCCCTCTTCGGGGGGGCGGCGTACCTTGCGGGTTGCTCCTGGTACTTCTCTGATAGCAGAGTGGCAGAGTGGACCTTGGAGCAACCCCATGGTTGTGGTGGTCTGCTTTGGCAGACATGCCGTCGGGGCGTCGTAGTTGAATGCGTAAGTGATCCTGCGACGCCCCATTAAGACGGGGGAAGGCTTTGTTGGGTTTTAGTGGGTAGTACTGGCTGTATTACGCCGGTGAGTCACACACGTCGTACGTAAATGCATTTCCCAACGTAAAAAAAAGTATTGTTTTAATTCTCCCACTAAGGCGGGGGGAAGGGATGTCGGGTTTTAGTGGGTAGTACCGGCTCTTCTAGCCGGTGAGCCCCACATCACCACCTGGGGGATCAGGTGGTATGCGTAAATGCATTTCCCGACGATAAAAAAAAAAAAAAAAAAAAAAAAAGACCCATAGTCCTGTAAGTCTTATTCAGACTGTTATTCGTCTGTAGACTAATAAAGAAAAATCAACTTATAAAAACATAGGAAAAACTATTGATAAATGTCTCTAAAACTGTAGTACAAAATTTATCCTTCTTCAACTTTTATTTTATTTAGTCTGTAGACTAATAAAGCAAAATATATTTATACAAAAACAGGAAAAACTTTTAATGAATGTTTCTAAAAATTTAGTACAAGATTTATCCTATTATAATTTTACTGAAGCTTTAATATTACTGTCTATTTCATACTTTAGATATTTACTTGACTTTTGTAAGGTTAACTAGGTTAGGACAAAGCGACAAGAATTATAACTAGAAGCCATTTATCACAGTGCTTCGAATAGGAGGTATGCATTGAACTATATGTATGTATATCTAAGTAACATCTTGGCTTTATATTATTTGTTCATAATAATATTATTAAATTATATAATTATATACTCATTTAATTGCATGTAATTTTTGTATAAATATTTTTTACCTTTTACTTTTAACTATTTAATAAATTATAATGTTTAAATTATCAATACATAATTATAGATGATTACAAAATTAAAAAAAAGTGAATAAATAATGCAAAGATTGGAGTGTCAATGCTGTAACTAACGCAAGGCTGAACTGCCTTAATGCCTAAGCTTAGAAGATATCTACAAGATATTATTCTGAAATTTAATAAATAAACTATAACTAAATTGAGGATATGCTTCATACATCTATCTACAAAGAAAATTGGCATAATGTATAGCTGTCAATACAAATCCACAGCCTACTTGCGTTTTCGTGGATATGAGATAGTCACTCCAAAATAACTCTTGGCCTTTCTATCCCCTGTTTCCGCTAAAAAAGCACGCTTGCTCCCTTACTAATTTCAGTTGTGACTTAGTTTTCACCATGAACTCCCAATGTTGAAACGATAATTTTAACTCTATTTTTTGTTGTGTTATAAGATTATTATTGAATCGAATTGAATATTCTTTTCAAGGCTCTGACAAATTCTTCAACATTTCCTTTGACGAAATGCTCAGTTTGTGGTGACCCTACTTGCTGTGAGAGCGGTCGCAGGTTCGAGTCCCGCTGGGGGCATTCATTTGTGTGACGAGCACGAATGTTTGTACTCAGTCATGGGTGTTTATATTTATAATATGTATGTATTTAAAGTTATATATGTGTAGTGTATCAACTATCTAGTTTCCATAACACAAGCCTCGTAGCTTACCATGGAACTAGATGGCGCTGTGTGTTAATGTCCCAACATATTTATTTATTTCCATCGAAGAATTCGACATAGTAGACATAATATGAGGCGTTAGTTTAACATAATATTTATAGTTATGCAGTATCTTATCTTCCTTCTTTGAGTATTCCTTGTGACTGGACTCAATTCATCTTCTACTGAAGTAAAATAAGTCGGTACCTGTTAGAAAACACATTAGTAATCTGATTATGATATAGAATTAATCAACATAAGATCTCTTAGATATGCACTATCGATGGATGTGATCTTAGTCACGTCCCGCGTTTTCTCGTATAATCTGTAAAAAATGGCAGAAAGTCAATTTTTTCATGATTTTTTTTATAAAACTTCTGTTTCTTATCTCTGGCAGTAAGTGGCCATATTATCTTCATCAACCTACTGTAAAGGTATACATAAATCAATTTATTTAAAATTAGGCTTTAGGCATATATATATGTACGTAAAGACTATTCATATCGGGCAGGGCGAAATTAAAGTTAAATTATTATTCCCAGGAATGCACTACTACGATAAAAAACATTGATACTCTTTTAGTTCTTTTTAGATCAGTACTTGAAATTCGACCATAATTATGTATACCTATATTATTGACTAGCATTATCCGCGGCTTCGCCCGCGTTCAAATGACCAAAAACAAAATTATTAAGTTTTACATATTAGTATACTCTTACAATGCAGTTTTTGTACTTTTTCTCAGAAATGAGATATTTTGCCGCGGTAAAAAGTATCCTATTTGTTGACTCGAATAACCAGCTATCATCATACCAAGTTTCATCAAAATCCCTCCAGTGGTTTTTCCGTGATGCGATAACAGACAGACAGACAAAAATTCTAAAAACTATAGATTCGGCTTCTGTATCGATAATAATGTATTTAAATAAGATTTCCCAAAATATATTTAATGTACAGATTCGTCTTAGTTACAATTTTATTATATGTATATATAATTTGGGGAAAACATATATAAATAATAAATAGAATTTACCTATTTATATAAAAAAAATCTGTTTCCTTCTTTTATTGATAACTCTAAAGCTCTTCGATGCCTAACAAATAAACAAAATTACTTAACGAAAAGAGGAGATGAAGGCCTATTTAATATTTATATAACATCGAACAGCGTACTTCTACGAGTATAAGCATTATTTTTGCCTATAAATTCATATGACATATAAATTTTACTTTTTAGTTTATATTTACAGATATGAATGATAAAAACAAAATCACTGCTTATTACTAACTTCTTAATTGCTACTGATAATTGCTACTGATATTCATATGCTGACTCTTATCTACGTGATAACGTTGATAAATTTTGCTAGCTGGAATATTTAGATTATATTAAAAATTAATATTTAATAGATATATAGAATTTTGGTTAGTATTTTGATATAAAATAATAAAAATATCTTATATGTATATATTATTATCTATACCAAAAAATGAAAGGCTTATGAAATAGAAAAAAATTACGTAATTAGAAATAACGTGAATTAAAAAAAATATAAATTCGTATAATTACATTGAAAATAAGTAGAACTTACTCATAACTTGAGATCAAAGGTAAGATCATGTGTCCTCAACATATCTGTATCCCTATTTATTATATGCTAACTTGACATCTGCTGAAATAAAAAAGTCATTTAGAAATATCGGGCTCATTTTTTAAGACCTATCCTGATCCTATCCAGGGATACTTCTGGTAGCTGAGGTAGTCGCTAGCGTATAATGTGTATAATATCATACGTAAGTGTGAATTAGTAGGTAGACTAATTTTCACGTTAAAAAAATATAATATCGATTTGAAATTTTCAATCTGGAAAATGATAAAATAACAAAAAATATATTAAAAAATTATGATTTTTTTAAACTAAAAAAAATTGTGGGTGATTTTAAAAAATCTTTTTTTAAGCTGATTTTTTAAGGAGGCTCTTAAAACATAAGAAACAAACATATTTTCATGCGAGACACGAAAAAGAAAAAATGGCAGTTTTTTTGCACCACCCTAGATTGTAATAACACCATAATATGTGTAACAAGTAATATTTAATTACTATTGTGTCTATTGTTATAAAAATATATTTCAATCTAGATTCTGATTAGCACTATCTAGTGTAGAAAATCGTATATATGGTAGCGTCTCCAGATAAACCTCACTTAAGTAATGTTTTTTTAGCATTTAAGTGGTTTATAACATTGAGCCGAAATGATTGGAAAGATATCGATTATTCTGCTAGCTTTATTCGCTTGTCAAGGTAAGTCCAGTGAAATTATAACGTATTATTTCCAAATCTAGTGCGTTTAACGAGTGATTAATAATATTCACGAAACAGTGAGTTTTTATTACAAAATAATGTGACTGAAGAAGTAAAATTTATAATAATGGTAGTGATCTCATTTTCTACTCTATAGTAGGAGATCCCGATCTATGTGGGGAGCCCCTCACTCATTTTTCAAGCGAAATATATTTTTTTTGAACAGTAAAACATATTAATAAACATGACCCAAAAATTTGCTCAAGTCTATTTTTAGTTAAAAAAAATTTAATACTTTTTGTTTAAAAGTACGAAAATTATTTCTCTGTGATAATTTAGTAACGATAGTTAAAGACTTGTAAAAAATGCTATCATAGACTAGAAGTTTGTAATTAACAACAGCCTGGAGCAAATTTTTGTTGACAACCCCTCTGGGTCGTGTTTGTTAATATATTTTATGGTTTAATCCCTCCACGACCGCGGACACGCCGGCGTGTCAGTTAACAATAGATTTCTTAGAATTTTAATTAATTTCTTAGAAATTTACCTGGAGGTGTTAAAAATACATTTCGCCTGGAAAAAGTGCAAAGGGTCTACCATATAGATCGGGATCTTAGACTATAACAATATTTGTGTCAACTCAAAAATAGCATAAAAATATTATAATAAAATATACATATACATTATAATAAAATATATTTTGGTAGTGTTGGAAAATAAAACAATATTTATCTTTTTCAGGCAATTGCTTGACAGAAATACAGTTAGAAGATCGCCACCTATATTACATAATACATACTCATTTTTCAACTGCTATATCTATCCCAAAGAATTTTTGGGACACCCTTAGTACATGTCATGTAATTTTTCCTAATGGGGTGATGTTTGAAGCATACCCTCAATATCAGATTACTAACCAAAATGTCTTCTTCCTTGAAGCAGTTCAGCCTTTTACTAGCTGTGGTATTGGCTTTAGAAACATCGATACATCATTTAGTGGAACATATGAATTATTGTCAACTGTATTACACTCTGCAGACAACAGCGTATCTTTAACAAGACAGAGATTCCACTTAACTGTGACGGAATCAGATTTTACTATGAAAGAAGAATAAGAACGTGATGTATATGTGATATTTTTTCTAGTTGTGATCAAATATGTACTAATTTTGAAATGTGTCAATTTATATATTAAACTATATATTATAAAAAATTGTAAAATAATTAAAAACCAGTCTAAAAAATAATTCTAAAACAATAATTATTATAGCATTAACAATAATGTTATTTATTACTTCCTTATTGTTATTTAATTCCAACCTTTTCCAAATAACCAAATTTTTCATAAGGCAAGTATATGCCAAATATCCATAAGAATTCAATATGGTATTATAATATGTGAAATCACAATTTACATTTTTTTTAATCTATACATTATTATAATAAAATTTTAACTGATTCGAATCTGTACATCAATTTTTTTTTTGGAAAATCTAATTGAAATAGTTGTTGTTATCGATACAGAGGCCGAATCTACAGTTTTTAGAATTTTTGTCTGTCTGTCTGTCTGGGAATGCATCCCGAAAAAAGTACTGGCCAGATTTTGATGATTTTTTTATGATGATAGCTGGATATCCGGATTAATATATAGGTTACTTTTTACTGCGGGAAAATATCTCATCTCTGAGAAATCCTTACTAAGCGTTAAAACGTAATTAAGGAAAAACCCGAACGGAGCGAGGGTGAGTCGCTATTTATAATATAAAAAAATAAGTCGAAAGTTCTAATTAATTAACAACAATATCCTGATGAAATTAATAATAGTTCCGTTATAAAGCTTCTATCATAGACTTCCAAAGTGGCAGGCTCTGAGAGCACTTAACTATGTTTAATGGAGTTTACCAACTCCCCCCGGACATAGTACCGACTGACATTCGAGCTCATTGATATGCACCTTTGAGAATTTCTCCGTGATTAGTTCCTGTGAAGCCAATCATTGGTATACAGGACGCGCTACATACATCGTAGTTTACAAAGCTGTGAAATATCCATGTTTTATGCGCATACTAGCGATTTATCCTTGCTTCGCGTCCCTAGGTATATAACAGTTGCCTAGGTATCATTCCAAGTTCTAGTGTATCCGTGTACAAAATTTAATCAAAATCTACCCAGTCGTTTCAGCGAGAAGGATTAATTAACATGCACACACAAAAACTTTTACATATATATGCAATGTATACATGTATATAGAATAGTAGTCTCAATATTATGTATTTAGAAATTTTTAACGTCCCACTGTTGGGCACGGGCCTCCCTTAAATTCGAAGGGGATCAGATCATAGTCCACCACGCTGGCCAAGTGCGGGTTGGCGGACTCACATATCGTTCGAAAACTTGCTAAGTTCTCTCAGACATGCAGGTTTTTTCACTATGTTTTCCTTTACCGTAAGCAAGTGGTGATCATGTTAGAAATGATTCGCACATGAAAATATCAGAGGTGCGAGACCCGGGATTGGAACCCGCTTCACTCGGCTTCACAAGCGAGCGTATATTTATATTTTGCATTAGATATATAAAGACGTTAATTTTTTTCTAAATTAGTAATTGTCATGAATATAAAAAAGGGTTTTTTATACTAACTATTACGAAGAAAAAAGAAGCTAGAAATAATCATTTTTTACTTACATACAATATATATATATATATATATAGATACGTAATCTACCTATATGATTTTAGTACAAGCTTTGGTGTAATATTTTTATTTCTAATGTACGTTAGAAGTTTCAGATATACCTATTTATTACAAAAGTAATTCATATTTAAAAAATCGCCTTCATTTAAATGACCTAAAAAGTATTTCAGATTAAAAAGACAAGCTGTCCTTCAAGAACTTTGTATTTTTAACGTATCTATCTTATATTTTAAAGTGGCAAGTTTTAAATCCACTCTTGCTCTTCCAAAGTTTGAAATTGCTTTATTTTAACACAATGTATGTATTTCACACTTAAAATATTGCTATTTTACACTTTTGTTTTCATATTGGGAATGTCAAAATAGGTGATAATATTTGTACAAGAATTGTGATTAAGTTTGGAACAAACGTAAAGAACAGAATTATTTCTGTCAGTCTCAGGAAATACAAAACTGCTTTCACTTATTTTGTTTCAATATAGTATAAGTAAATACAAATAGGTCTTGAGCTGTAGCTAACACTGAAATCTATTAACAACCTAATAGACCAGTCACTGGGTTAGGTTCTGAATTACAAAAGGTCAAGGAGAGTTCTATTTGGCAGAGTGTTAAAGTTTGTTATCCTAATTAATATTCCGAATTGGAGACCTTGAGCGAGTGTTGGAAAAATGGTACCAAAAACAAGGTTTTCGAGAATATCTTCTCTTCAGAGTCATTTATAAAAAATTTACAAACAGTCATGACAAAAATTATAGAGCATAAAATTTTCTGCAACTTTTGTAAAAACATATTTTAATCAGATAATTATTTCAGGAATTACAGCGAAGTCAAGTTGGGAAAATTTTTACAATTCGAAAAATCTCGATTATTCAGTAGGTATATACCGATTACTTACTACCGTTTTTTTACTTATTTCCGCACTACCATGAGGTAGAGGGGAAGGCGCATTTTTTTATGTAATATCCCCAACAGGCCTAATCCACGATCCGCTACTTATTGAAGGATTTCTTTCGTTTCGATGTCCAGGTTTATATATATATATATTTATTTTGTATAAACGTATTGAATTTAATAAAAAAAAATTGCATTCCGAGCCGGTGGTAGCTTCCTAGCGGACCCTACAGTACATTTAATTTTAATTTAAAATGTAAAATTGACGATTCAAAAGAGCTTGTAAAAGTCTATTTGAATAAAGTATATTTTGATTTGATTTGTTTTGAATTATGTAGACATTTCTCTTCCATTATTAAATAACCTCATATCTATTGGTTTTTTTCCAGTATATTAAGAAAAATCACGAGAAAATTCTACCTTTTACTAGTTTGTAAATCTGACTCGCTGCCACTTTGTTACACTATTGTTCAATACATAAAATGTGCAAAAAATGCACAATTAACAATGAATCATTACTAGAAATGTCAAGGTCTGTACAGCGCAAAACTTGAAATGGCAGTTAGAGAGCTTCTGTGAAATTAAATTTTAAATGCAACGACTTCAATAGAAGTGACGTGGAAAATTCGAAGCAATTTTGCTTTAATTCTCGCGTTTTTATAAAGCTATTATTAATAGAGAAAACGGCGTAGAAGCAACTTAATGAACTATTCAGGCCGTTGGTAATTTTTACGCTCTTTTTAAAGGCGACTAAAAACGAGCTCGGGAGTACAATAGAGGCTGACGAGCGCGATTATCATATCAGTAGTTTCGTTATAGTCCCAGCGAAACCACGGCGAAATTTGCGTTTTAAGTTGGAAATTATTGCCCAGGTTATTTTACCCTATTTAGAAAATAAAAGATAGTATATAAATTACTAGCAACTTACCCTTGCTTCTCTCGCAACGTGTTCCTGGTTGGCTGACAGTAGTCTATGTATATGTTAGTTTATCTCCGAGTTCTATATATTTGTGTAGTAAACCTCTAAATCTGATTAGATGTTTCGATGTGAAAGAGTACCAAATACACACACACAAATGCACACGCGTGGATTATGAAAATAATTAAATTAATATATGTAAATATATAGATATCTATTTACAAAAATAAAATGAAAATGATATTAAAGTCTAAATATTATAAAAATAAAATATTTCTGAATTTAAAATACTTTTAGTATTTCATGTCGTTACTTTTATTTAATAAATCTTTATAAAACGTAGGTGCGGTTTGACTCAAAAATATTATACTGCTATTAAATTAATGTTAAATTTTCAACTTTGAAACTCGGTCACAAAATACACATAGTATTTAAAATATAAAAAGGGTGAAGCTACTTTTCGGTGAAATTTTTTTTTCTGGTAGAAAACATCGTACCTACTACCTGCCTGTCTAAATAACAAGTGCAATGTTATACTGGAGTATTAGATTTTCCTTTTTTATTGCAAATTAAAATACCAATTTATTTCAAAAGCTTAATGTCCAGTTTTGAAAGACAGCTTAAAAAAGACTTTATGAAATTGTTACATTACCTGATTTGTTAAAATTAAAAAATAGAAAAAACAATTTTTTTTTAAATAACTTCTTTCTGAATCAGTTTACCATGCAAATATTAAACGAGAAAAAAATCCTATTGGTTCCTATAAATTTGTAAATGATATGTAAAATAAATAATTTAGCATCCGAATGCCATTTGGATTTTTTACATCAGGTAAAAATTCCAAATGATTGAAGTATATGACGAATGATAACCAAGTTTAGTTTACGTTATGAATTTGGTGTATTCAGCCCTTTTTAATGACCCACTGTTGGTCACGGGCCTCTTATTGCATGGGGATCAGGACATAGTCCACCGCGCTGGTCAAGTGCGGGTCGGCAGACTTCACATCTCTTTCGAAAACTAAATTCTTTCAGACATACAAGTTTTCTCACGATGTTTTTCTATAGCAAGGCAAGTGGTTATCATGTTGAAAATGATTCTCATATCGTTGGCTTACTATTACAAGGTTCTATGTTAATTTTGATGAAGTTTAGTAATTTTTACATAGAACTTCGTTACTTTGTTATCGTAAAAAATCAACATAGAACTATGTAAAATTGAATATTTTGTAGTTATAGTGCCGCTATCTAGTGGTTTGTTTTTGCAAAACTGTAGCTAATGACACATAGAACCTTTTAGCATTAATAAATGAATAAGTACTAAAATTGTAACATAGAACCTTGTAATAGGGAGCCATCGAATTATGGTAATATAAGAAGTACAAGATCTGGGACTAGAACCCGCTTTGGTTTTCCAAGCGATTGCGTCACCACTGGGCTACCACTACCTATATGATTTTAGTATAAAATAAAAAAAAACAACAATTATAATTTTTGTTAAGTAAATTACTATTAATTTAGTTATCTAGATAATAGTATGCACACAGATTTTACTATAGTCATTAAAAGTGTGGTCTAGATTATTCCCGCCACCACCGCGGACACACCG